AGCAGTGTCAAACAGTCCTGAATTTTTTGTTTATAGCCTAATTTTTGTAGAAGGTCTTGGGGTAAAGGAGTACTGCTGCTTTACGGGCTGCCTTTTTATGTAATTTGAACCTTTTGTCTTAGGATGTCGTGAGGTGTTTGTAAGGTGCACGCTTCCAAAGTGTGTTAAGTAATGTCTTGAAGTTTTAGGAACAACAGTAAACTCTAAATACAGTCTTGTGAGGATATGATTGTAGTGCTAGAAAAGATACCTCCTGTTTTCTGTTTTCAGGTGTTCCAAAGGGATGGGAATGATTTGCATATGACGCACAAGATAGGACTTGTTGAAGCACTGTGTGGATTCCAGTTCACATTTAAGCACCTTGATGGGCGTCAAATTGTGGTTAAATATCCTCCTGGAAAAGTAATTGAACCAGGTAAGTGTGAGGAGATAAGGACTCCTTTGACTGTGCTTTTGTTGTTCTTGAATATCTAATTCCATTCTTGTTTTGCTTTTACCTGAGCCCAGACTGGAGAATTGGGTGGGGCAGGACTGTTTCTGAAGCAGCATTCTGCAGATTGGTTTCTTACCCTTACAGGTTGTGTCCGTGTAGTCAGAGGTGAAGGAATGCCACAGTATCGCAATCCTTTTGAGAAGGGGGATCTTTACATTAAATTTGATGTTCAGTTTCCTGAAAATAACTGGATTAGCCCAGAGAAGCTTTCAGTAAGTAGTCTTTCGAGCATAAATTTGGTAGTTTTATTGGACAGTGCATGCAAGGTGCTTGTGTGTTAGCCCCCTGTGCTTGCTTTGTAATCTGTAAATGTTAATAAATTGTTCTATTAATACTGTTCATAGACAGCATATTACTTGAAATATGAATTGAGAATTAGGTTTCTGGAACCTGTTTTTAAAAGCGGTGTTGATTTTTGGGTAGATGAGAATAGAAGGAAGAATCTATGACCATGTGATAAGTCTTGAGAGTGCAACTGTAATTACTGATTGGACACTGGTTGATAATGTGTGGAGCTTTTTCTTTTTTTGTTGTTTTTTTTTTTTTTTTTGTTTTCCAGTTATTGCAGATACTTTGGTTACTCTTAAATGAGTTATGCACTTCAGAGCTTACTCTAGTTTAGGCTTCCAAACCAAACTTGCTCCAAGGAGTCTTGATGCTGTGGGGAAGTCATCACTTTATTTAGAAGTTGGAGATGTGGTACTGAATGCGCTTCTTTCTTTGGGGCAGGAACTTGAAGATCTTCTGCCTGCTAGACCAGAATTTCCTAATGTAATTGGTGATGCAGAAGAGGTAGATCTTCAGGAATTTGATACCACTCGTGGTTCAGGTGGTGGCCAGAGACGTGAAGCTTATAATGATAGTTCTGATGAAGAAAGCAGCCATCATGGACCTGGGGTACAGTGTGCCCATCAGTAAACATTTGTCTAAAAAGTTGCACAAGGATTTTCTTTGAAATTTTGCCTGACTTGTTTTCAACAATCCAACTGGATTGTATAAGTAATCCAGATGAACCAATGGACATCTATTGCTGTATGTGTAACTTTTAAATTGGTCTATAGTATCTACAGAGTGTAATTTAAACTAACCACAAAGCTTACATCTTCATTTTGACTGTGTAGCAGAATAAAGCACTTGAAAGGAAGACGAGACTCCTTTTCACATGGGTTTTAAGTTTGTCCTCGTATCTGTGCTTGATTTTTACCAGTTTTGTGTAGATTTTAAGTTTCATATTTTAAATTCAAATTCTACATTGTAAAGTTTGTGTACAATTTGTCCTGAGGCTTGGTATTTGGCTGCACCTGCATAAGCTGCTACAAGTAGAATAAAGAATTTCATAGCCTGTATCTGTCATCTAGATGCATGGTAAATGGGCTTTGCACATAATGGGTTTAGAGCTGACTGGGAACAATGGAAGACTAAATTAGAAGTGGTTGTAAGTTTTTTCTACCATCTTGTGAACGGTTTCTGAAATAAATAAAAGCAGTTGGTGTATAATATATTTCTTCTTGCCGTGTAACTTTTACTTTTGCAGTGGTTCTGACCATGTGTACCAACTGACTATAGAGAGGTAGGTGCTTGAAAACAGAGGCTGAAGCTGCTTTAAAACCAGCTTGCAGTTTAAGAACTGTGTGTATAAATATTTTCCTTGAGCAGCAATACAACTATTTGGGTAGGGGAAGGCCACAGCCCTGTCCCCTTTCTATAGAGAAAGTACAAAGATTTCAGGCTGCCATCAAGAAGTTACAAACGTTTGAAATGAAGATGATTAAATCCCGTGCTAAATTAAATCTGTGTCTTTAAAACAAACAAAAAAAAAAAACATGCCTGGCAATCTGTAGTGATGTTAACACAGTTTGTAAAGAGATGGAGATTAGTGTTGTACTTGACAAATATTTTTTACCTCAAAACATACTAAATGTTGTCAATTTTATCAGCTTTTCAGTAGTTTAAAATTTTTCTAGGTATTAAGATGCTTAATTTTCCCAGTTTCAGTCCTATTCCTTTTTATATGCATTTAATTGGTTTTAAAAAAGAGACCTTAAATAATTATCAGGTACAGCTATCTTATTTTGTTACAGAGTTGGAGAACTGTGCATGAGTTGCTGTTCACCAGTTTGCTATAGTGTAGTTCCTCTTCCCCATTGAGTAGAAGTTGAAATACACTCTTATTTTTCTTTACAAATTTCAAGAGTGACTTTAAAAGCTTGTCAGGTAATTGTTGAATTCTTATCAGAGTGAGGTGGGAGAGAAGTGCTCCAGAGCTTTCAGTGCACTTGTAGGTGATGACATTGGAACATTGCGAAATGTGGATTTTAAACTGGAGCAAGAATAAACACTGTTTGGCTGCTACTTCAGTATTGATTTTTACCGTTGCAAGTCCTCTATTGAAGCTTTGTTTATTCTCACTTAAACTGCAGGTTTTGGCTTTGCATGAAGTCATAGTTACATAGTGATCCTTCTGGTGTGTTTCACCAAGTTCATCATCTTAAGCTGTAGTGTTTAATAATTAATGTACTTGTCTAATGCTTTCAGATACTGGTCTTCAGATTTACCTCTAAACTTTAGACTGTAAAATTTTTTTAACTCTAAAATGTATCTCTCTAAAGTAGAGGTAAATTGTTAAATTTGTGTTTTTTGGTGGAGTGGGGAGGAATTCGCTGTAACTTCTTAGATAGCATATTGAAGTGAAAGGGGGGGGAGGATGTAGATTTGATCATGATATGTAGTATGGATTATTAGTCATTAATTTAATTTAGGCTCCTGACAGTAGAATCTGACCATATTCCCAGAATTACCTTTATTCTACGCATCTCCTCTTTCTACAGAGTTTTAGTGTGGCAAAAGTCATACATAAATTTAAAACTTATACAGTCTTGACTTCAGTACTAAACTTGGGAGTAATATAATACCACTGTCAGTAATTTTGTTTGGTTTAGCAATAAACTTTATTGCTTTACTGCAGCTGCTGCCTCATTAAATAGGCCAATGTGCTTGTCCTATGTGAAAGAAGCATTAGTTGCATGTTCTTTGTAATAAGTGGTGCATTGTGATATGTAGGTCAGAGGTAGTACTACAGAGTAATTGAGTCTTCGGTGCTTCACCCTTGGGATAAACGTATCAATTGATTTAGAAAGCCTGCATCACTGAAGAAGTGCACAGCTTGTGAGTTTGGCCCGTGTCAGGGCCCAGAGACACTTTCCTAGCTGTTAATAGTCTCTCTCTCTCTCACACACACGCACACTCTAAGTTAAAATTCATGAGATCCTTCAACTAGAGCAGGCCTGATTAAACAACAGGAGCAAATTCTGTAATAGATACCACTACATTCAGACTTAAACCCACAGCTGTGCACTGTACTGGTTTTCAAAGCTATATTCAACAATACATTTTTATGGAAATTGTAGAATACTGTTGTCAAACATTCAGATTTCAGTGCTGCCTTGCAATGGTGTATGCATTAGTGTAGTATATGAGGGAACAGTTAAATCATTCATCTTGAAATACCAGCTTGTCTTCAGGAATCAACATTGATAACAAGCTGATGTGATGCTCTCATCTATTTAGGTTAATTCAAATAAACTTAATTGTAATTGGGCAGTATAATGACTGACTTCTAAATGTAGAATGTTTCATACAATTCTTAATGCTATTATTAGAAAGAAAAGCACATCTATATTCTGGTTATCAAGTGAAAATAAGATTATTCATCAGTTAGGCTTAACTTAATGTTCTTGACCAGCTTTGACTTCCTTGTCCTAGGAAGAGCTTTTTTTTCCTTAATTGAAACTTGTGACCCTTATCTCACTTTTTTTTTTTTAGAGAAGACTGAAGAAAAAACTGTTAGAAGCTAAAATTGCTTAAAATATGCTTAAAGTTTTGAAAGTGCAAGTCTTCCCTGCTGTCGTATCACAGTGAAAACATTGAAATCACTCCTAGCAGACTAAAAGCCAGGAGTATCCTCAAGTTAATGAAAAGCTTATGCAATGGTGGTCATCTTTTACTTGAAAAAGTTGTCAAAAGCTTTCCTACCAGAGAAAATCTGAGCTATTACTCTATCTTGCAAGTTATATCACAACAGAAGACTGGAAATAATTCAGTTTGTGTTAGATTTATGTCTATGTTACCAGAAAACTGAAGCTGCATATCTTAAAGTTCTGTTAAAGAACTTAAAAACCTGCATTTCATTTTAAGGCTTAAGTAAAATCTCTAGAATACAAAACATGAATAGTAACAGCAAACCAATAGCTAAATAGAATTCTTCCCTGCATGCCAGAAACAATGTAAACTGTAATAATAAGTAGCTTCCTACTTCTAGCTGTGTAGAAATATCAGTTAGACCTTAAATCTTTTGCTACTAAATCTTGCTTGCTACATCAAGGTATTTTTCCTTTTACTGTGAACTGAGCTAAAATGCCAGCTAAAGGCTTGTACAAAGGTGGAAAAGTAAAATCGCTTCCTTTTGCATTTGTGTCCTTTATGGAAACAAGGAAAAACATGGATCCCATTGTATGCTTTTATGTAAAAATATTTATTCAGCAGTACACAGCTTTATTAAGACATTGTAGATATTCTCTGAACACTTTTAGAGGAGGAAGGTAAGAGCAGTTGTGAATATTCTGTCATCGCAAGGCAGTTCCGTTAACTCGACTTAGCAGTAGCCTTTCCACATAATACAGTCAGCTCACTCTAAGGATGAAGAAAATTCACTTTAGTTCAAGCTAACAAGCAAAGCTTAAAGGAAATTAAAAAATTAGGTGCTGTAGATGTAATAAGTAAATCCCTGCTCTCTGCTTACAGATGCAGATACGCTGTTACCAAATTTGACTTCCGCACCTTCATGTTAACTTATTCCAGCCACATTCAATTACTCCCACCCACAAGACTTATCTGATTATTATCACTGATTGTCCAGATGGATACCTATTGCTCCAGATGAATTCATCTGGAAGCTCTATGCTTTGCTAAGAATGTCAGGCAGTGTGTGCTACGAAGTTCTGTTCAGCTTTATTCTTCAAAACAATTTACTTCCTAGAGCCAGAAGTAAGGTAGTTCATGTTCAAATACCAGTAGAGAATGAACAGCAGTTCTTATTCAATAATAGACATAGAACAACAGATTTTAACAAGAACTGAAGCTTTGCTGTAACTGTGTAAGCTTTTGTGGATGGGATAAAGTATGGCAATTTGCACACTGAGCAATCTAGAAGGAAAAGCTTATAATTCTGTTCTATTCCAGGTAACTGTACATGTTTCTGTAAGTGCTCTCCTACGCATTTATCTGTGTACAGCAGTTGTCCCTTCCCTGTACCTCCCTCTCCCTCTCCTTCCAATTTCTGCCAGCCAACTTAGGCTTAACTTCTGAAGAAATACACAGTTAGAATTAGCACCCAGAACATTTATCTCACATGAAAATGCAGAACTGGGTGGTGGAATACTTATATGCAAGTCTCCTGGTTTAAGCTTACCACTAGGTTATGAATGTGCTGTACTGTATCTTGATTTAATAGTTGGACATCAAAGTTACGGAGGTCTCCACCAGCCATACGGAGCGTCTAAAAACATGAAGAGAAAGTTTCAAAAACGACTCCAAACGTTTATACTTGCACTGTCAGCTTCTCTGAAAACCAGGTGCTGCCCTGCTACATTACAAAACATTGCTAACTGTTCTTCCTTGTGTTTAGCAGCTCACGCAGGGACAGCGAGAGCTATCTGCATTAGACAATTCACAGTTGAACTACTGTAAAGTATTTTAGAATTTTTTTTTAAAGGAAGAGTTTCATACCTGTCCATCAGCCAAGGGAATGTTTACAAATGGAACCATTTTATCTTGGGGTACTGATTTACTTCTCAGTATCATGCCTTGAACTCTTTCACTGGTAGGTAAAGTTCTTGATACAGCTTGTTGTAGTCCAGCACTAGAATACAAGTAAAATGTTACTATAACATTAGCTTCCTCTATTCTGCACATTTTTTGTGCAAGAAGTTTCTGCACGTGGTAGCAAGCATACCTAAGAAAAAAGCCATCTTGTTTACCTTTTTCAGTGCTGCCAAAGGACTGCAGGAAATCTAATAGCAGCATTTACTAGCACACTAGGTAATATTTTCTGACCGTGACACTTTTTATTCCTGTGTTACAGGCCTGTAAGCAGGCTGACATTTGGACCTCTCACTATCAAGGACATCCACTCCCCGATATGAACAGTGACAGAACAGTTTTGGAAAGAGAAAACTGTGCCTTGAGGCTTAAGATAAAACTTGCACTATATCTGTTCACTTCAGAGGGAAATAGCAGGACATTCCAAAGCTGCTACCTCTTAGAGGTACAGGAAATGCTGTACGTATAGAATTCCTACACTTGTTTTGTATTTTTTTAAAGGCAGGATTTGGACATTTTCTATGTGGCAATAAGCCTCTGGCATTTGTAGTAAGCCAAGGTGAAACTAAGCAACATGTTGGTTTCATGACCCAGTTAGTTACCAAAATCATACACCCTTGGGTATTTCAGCTGCCGACTTCTGTCAAAACTAAACTGTTGCTTATGTAAAATAATTGAAAACCTAAACTGTTGAAAAAGGATACAACTGTGATAATCAATTTTTTAAAACATGAGCATATTGGTCACATTTTAATCAAACATATGCTCTGAGGTTGTAGCTTAAACTCTAAACTATACCTTTTAGCAAAAGGAGAAAGGAGTAGAATGTATACTCCATTAATGTTTGTTGAGTTTTCTCCTTTTGTTTTAAAGGAAAGAAACAAACTGGCTTACTTGTGACACTGCATTCTGTACCTCCATGAAAAAGTAAGCTAACGCCCATGCTCAAAGCAGGAGCTGCAACTGGTTCACATCCCCACTACCAAGTTCAGTGGCAGACCATGAAGACCTGTTAAATCTAGATCGACATGCAGTGTCTTGGTGCTCCTTACCCTTTTGATACTTTTGGCGTGGCTTTGAAATTTGTGGCATTGCAGTCAGGGGCAAGAGTCTTAACAGCCTCATTTATGCTTGTGGAAGAGTAAACAGACCTAAAAAAATAACAGGAGTAGTGATTTATTTTAATTGCCTCCTCATCTACTTCTACTGTAAAAGCTCCAGCTTAGATGAAAATGGACAGTGAATTAGAGAACGTTGTAAGTGTTCTGTAACATATCCAGTTTATATACAATGAAGAAGCCCTCAAATAGATTCTGAGCTATACTGGAACCTAACATGACAGGTGAATGAAAGGTTTTGGTTACATTAGCAAATAAGGGACAGCTGCAATTCCCGATGTGGGGGATACTTAAAGCATCATCCCCAGCTTTGTTTCAGCATACAGAGATGATCATCTTGAGAAGCTGCTTTTTCAGTAGGATTTCATTTTACTAGTTCAGCTCTCAGGACACTTGTTATGTATGGCTGACCTGAATCCACAGAACAATTTTTTAATTTTTGACTTTTTTTTAATTGTTGGGCTTTAACTTGGTTCACAGAATTTTTGATGACAGAATTTACCTCTGCTCTTTCCTCTCTTTTCCCACTCGCATTTTGAAGACTAAAGGCATAATTTTGTCCCACTGTTACTGCACAGAATAAATGCAGCCTGAAAAGCCAGACTTCTCAGGCAAAGCAACCTCCTGTAGTTTGATTTCATCAAGACAGAAACTAAAAAAATCCCAATTCAGGAAAATAATTGTACATGGCTAAGACTTTATTTCTTTTAGGCATGTTAAGCACTGATATTATGTCAGCTGTTTTTCTCCAAATACAAATTGAATGTACCCAAATAAGTGCCAGTGGATTCAGGGATGTACACTGGAACAGGAGCATCTCAAAAAGCTTTTTCAAGCAGATGTATCCACTGTTTTTTATTCATTTATTTTAATTCATTAGATTTTATGACGAGACTTAAATATTGTCTATCCTAAGTACCACAAAGGTTATTTTGCAAGCATCTATTTCCCTGCTAATGATAACTTCCTTTCTGCTACGACTAAGGGCAAAATTATTACACAACAGTTCATTACCCATAGTAAGAAGCAACAAAGACATTTCCCTTATGTGCTGTCTTTCATGAAGTGATGTTTGTTAGTCTGTGCTGATAACACGTTCGGAACTGCACGCCATGTGGTGAGTGAGAGAACTACGTCTTTCAGCTAGATGTCAGCTAGATGTGCTTTCTTGTACGTCCGATACAAGTTACGGAAGGCATCTCTATCAGAGCATTTACAAGGCTCAAATTTCATCTACTTTTGAGAATGATTCTGTGCAGGAGTTACCAGTTTAAGTAAGTTATGTATCAAAGGTCAGGCTTACCTAGAAAGACTGTGCAGTTTGCTATTTAAACCAGAGCTCAGTGAAACCAGTGACTTTGATTTGGATACCTGAGAACGTGCATTAGACTGCAGTTAACAGAAATGGCATCTTAAGGCAAAATGATAGACATATGATAGATACTTCCAGGAAAAATACTGGAAGAATTCTGTGTTCAAACAGAACAGTTAAGCTCCACAGTGCTGCTTTTTGCTGTTTTACATATTTTAGAAACCACAAATACACATTTCAAGTTTTTTGATGTAAAACTGTACTGAATTTCAGTATGAACAAACACAAGCAATAGCTTTTCTAACATACACCTTTCCAACACATAGCCCTCTTGTAATTAAGACCTGTAACTCCACATACAAGCTTTGTCTTCATTGAGTCATCCTGGCACATTGTGTTTGGCTGAGGTACTGCACTGCACAGGACTGAGGTGGTAGAATTAATACACCTGTGCTATCTGGTTTACAGATCCATGTGGATAGGATGCACCAGTCACCCAAACATACGTCTATTTTTAACACAAAGTTGAGTTCTAAAAAAATGTTTCAAATAGTTTCTCAAACCATCAGGACTTACTGGCAAATCAGGAAAGAATGACTACTTCAGTATGTGCAATTCTGTGTGAATGAGTTACACAAAGAGCAGATAACATTTTATTATGAAGTTAATTTACTATGCAAATTGTCTTGCTTAACTGAAAATAAGCTGAATTTGAAAGAATTTATTGTTCAAACAGACAACAGGCTACTGGCCTGCCTGGTAATGGACAGAGCAGGGTTCATAGCACGTCACAACTGATTAAACCCTTACATTGTTTATTTAGAATAAACTTACTTTTTTAGGTATTTTCTTTGCAGATGTATACTTGGCATCTTCATATTCAACAATTGTAGTTACCTTAACTAGAAATGCATTTGAAAGAAAAGAAAAAGAAGTCTCACAAAGAGGCATACGTTACTTCAAACATTTTGTTTGAAGGCGATTTACCCACCCGTAGTTAGGTATCAGTGCTGCTGGGTGACGATCACTCACCTGGGACAGATTTCAAAGCCAACTGTTTGTCACAGACAAAGTGACACATCAAATAGTTAAAAGGCACCACATAACCCTTTAACTCCCAGATAAAACAACTGCATTTAAGTAGTAATGTCACTTTTATGGCATAGTTTGGACTATAAAGATGAATGTTATATTCTTTATAGAGCTTAGAGAACAGGAAGTCAATGCATAATCTGTAATGTTCTGAGCTCTCCTGTTATACTGTAGAGCACTGATAAGGCTCTCAAATCTGTCTCCTTTCACCATTTTCAGTGATAAATCTAAAGGGCAGGAATTCTTATCTCATGTTTTGGAGCACTAGAACAGCAGCACAGCACATGATCCTTGTACTTTTAGTTAAGCACTTCCCTCTGAAGTTCTCCAGGCCTAATGTTCACATTCTGCTCAAACCACAACAAGGAGAAAATTTAAGAGCAAAGCTACATAATAGAGCTGCTTGCCTTTTTTACTGTTGGTCCGTGTCACTTTTGGGTTTGGTACATCTTCTAGGGTACAGTCTGTCTGTAAGACATTTATTCAAAAAGATAAAGTGAATATTTTTTGTTCAACAGATACATTTTATCTTATAGAAAGCAATAAATCAAAAGGGCGTGGAAGAAAGTGACAGAAATGGCTGAACAGCAGTTTATTTTTCAGAAGCAGCTGTACTTCTTGCAGATGACCATAAATGTTTAGTAATGTTACTGCACTGTGGCTGGCTGTCTAGCCTTTTTTATGTCTTCTGTTTAAACAGGCAGATTAACAAAGTAATTTGTCTGAAATCTTTACAGCAGAAAGAAAAGTTTCTGGTCTGTAAGCTGTGATAAAGTTAAAAATACACACCGCTGCAGCAGCAAGGGCCACTTCCTCCCCTTCTTGCAAATCTGTGACATAAGAAAGCACAGCTTGTTTATATACTGTTGCTTGAATCATTATTATCTGCAGGTTCTTATCTTTCAAAGTATGGAAATGAGCATGTAATTCAGAACTGTAGTTGCCTAAATAATTCACCTTCACTAGCAAATCCCTTAGGACAGCCAGTGTGCAAAACAACGATAAACAAACATCCTGGGCCACTTCAGTAAGTTTTATCTGTAGAAGAACAGTAAATTTAGCCAAACAGTACACAGCCTGAATTAAAAGCAGCAATGCTCTGTGCTGCTGGAAGCCAATGCTTTTAGGTAGCAGTTTTCAGGGAAGGCACTAAACACACCTTCTGCAAAGGCTTACAGTCAACTCAAGATCGCAGAGCCTTCAGTTTGATTTCATGGCCGTGTCACCAATATTAAATGCTGCATTCACACACACTTACTAAGCAAGTCCTTCCTTTTCATCTTTCTGATGGCAGTCGGCATCTTCAGCAGTTCCACCATGAACGCTTTCTCAGCCATTTGCAAGAGCAAATCGAGTTCTTTCTTCATTTCCCGGATGCTTTCCTTGGCTGGAAACCAGACGGGCGTTTATCGCCACACGCGTTACCCGCCTCCGATGCCAGCCCCGAGGTGCGGCGGCGCCAACCCGCCGGCCGCTCCCCGCCCCGCCGTCCGTCACGGCGCCCCCTGGCGGAGCGGTGCTTCCCGCGCAGCCCCACCGTTCCGCGATCCGCCACAGCCTCGGCCGCCCCGACGCGCGCCTCACGGGACGCCGCGCGGCGCCCCGCCCCGAGCCCCTCCCTGCCGGCCGGCCGGGCCCGGTACCGCCGCCTCAGCGAGCCCGGAGGGGGCCGGCCGGCCGGCCGGCCTTACCCTGCTGGTCGAAGTCGCTGAGGAAGAGCGCGATGCGCTGATCCTTCTTCTCCTGAGAAAGGGCTCCGCGGTCGCGCTCCACGCCCGAGTCGGTGCTGCGCCGCTTGGCCGGAGCCTTCTTTGGGGGCATGGCTGCCACCTCGCGCGACGGACTCGCCCCTTCCGCCCGGAGGCTTTTTGTACGAGCGGGGGCTTCTCCCCCCTTCCCCTCCTCTCCTCTCCCCTCCCTCCGCCTCCTCTCCCTCCGCCTCCTCTCCCGGTCCCTGGCGGTCACACCCCCGGCTGCGTGAATCGCCTGAAGGCGGCGCTGCCGACCGGCTTCCGTCCGACGGGTGAGTCGTGGCCGGGCGGCGGGGTGAGGGCGGGCGGCCGCTGCCGCGTGGCGGTCCGTGAGCGCGGTGCGACCTGGGCGCGGTGCTCCGCAGGCGGGGCGGCACCGGCAGCCCGAGCGGCCCGTGAGCTGGAGCGGCACGAGTGCGTGCGCTGAACCACGGCTTTCGTTGAGGACCGCTTTCATCGTGAGGTGCGGCGCCTCGTGGCGAGCCTTGCAGCGTTGTGTCAGTGAGGCGGGACACGGAGAACAGCCGCTCTTTAGTTTAATATGCGCTTTATTATTTGGAAGTTTCATACATTGAAGTACCATTATAAGGAGCACCTGTAAGAAAATCAAACCTAGAAGCATGCATTCCAAAGTAAGGATTGTCTGTTATTAATCAAATGTTTAAAAGACATCGAAAATAAATCTCCTTTTTCAGCTTTACGGGATTAATCCACGAAAATGCACATTCAGCTCATCACGGTACACACAGACATTGCGGATGGGCAGCAGAGATCACTGCCCTTCTGTATGAGATGCAAAGTGTCATCCCTGCTAATGTCGGAAACACAAAAGGCACCATAAGAGAATGTTTAGAAAAAACTGTTTATGCCATTCTATTTTGATTTAAAAGTGTAAGAATTGCTGTCCTGGCATAAAACAAAAAGCCTTTGACACCTGTAAAGTATCATTAGAAACTTGTAAACCTTTACACTTTTCCAGAAGCATCGGGTGCAAAGGCAAATATAAAATCTATTGAATTCTTAGATTACAAATGCTACCCTATGAAAAAATCTATAGTTACAAAAATATAAAAGATCTTCTAACTCCGATTGTTAGATCCTAGCTTCAATCTACACCACATTGCAAGTTCGAAGCCAGATAGATCTGATTTAGACACATTTATAGAATAGGAAAGCGCTGCTTGTCTTATTTTTAAATCAACATTCCATCCACTTACTACAGTTTTGCCTTCTAAATTTGACTTATTACTGCATATTAAAGATGCCAAATGGAGAGTGCTAATGGGTAAAAGGCTGCATTTATCAATGGATAGTAGCAACATATCCATTCCCAGTCTGCTTTCCTTCCAGAAATCCATTTCTCTATAGATAAGAGAAAATTTTTTATTTTTATTTTTTATTTTCATATAGTGTTGTTTTTTTAACTCCAGCCTCTTTGTGTAGCACATGCAGTTTTCCTTTATGAACTTGTAATCACTGGCAAATGATTGAGAAGTACCAAGTTCTTCCTTGCAGGCTTTTGTGAGAACCAGTGAGAAGGACAGCAATTGCCAGTGCACATCACAGCCTGGTAGCTGCTGCTGGAAGGTCAGGTATTCGCAACACCTTGCGCACATAAAAGATTGGCACATCCTTTATCCATGCAGTGATTTTTTAGCCCTTGGCTTTATATCCTGGATCAGCACAGGGTGCTGAAGCAGCTCTAAAGGCAGCCTAACAAAGTGCTATTAGGCATTAAAATGAATTTACTCTAAATAATAATGACTAGATGAAATGAGATACTGATGAATTAACTTTGTAAAATGCTGAGCTTAAGCCTGACAGACTGTAATGCTTTCCTGGCTGAATACTGGAATACATTTCTTGGCCAAAGGTGTCCAGCTTCCAGTCTGGACAAACTGAAGCCTTCTTCCTCTGTTCAGTGGAACTAGCATAGATTAGTGCAGTAATACCACTTTTCTCCTAGATAGTGACCTGCTTTAGCTGGGTTTTAATAAGAACTCAGACTCAGTCAGCCCGCAGTATGACTGTGGAAGATTTAACATGAGCTGTGCTATAGTTAGCTTTTTGCTAGGTGTGCAAGACATTTCCTTCTAAATACCTTTTCTTTCATTAGAAACCACCCCCAAACATTTCTTCTGATCACGTTTGTTAGTCCTTGACTTAGCTGGCTGTGTTTTAGCCAGCTAATGGCTCTTCTAATGATGTGGCTTTGAACAAATGTTCTCTATAGATAAAGCAGTTCTTTATAAAGTAGCGTTTTATTTTACCTTCTTTGAAAGCATTCACAGTACTCATAGGTGCTTTGAGACAGTAGCTTATTATGTTGCATGTATATAAAATAAGTGAATTAAAGAGTCTTGTGGACTTGTTATAAGAATAAGCATTCAACTGCTCTTATCTTATGCCGAGTTAGTGTGTCCAACAGCATATGAACAAGAAGGTAATACTCCTCATTATGTTCCAATTTTACAAAAATAGGGTTTGAATGGACACCTTCTTCATCCCTTTGATCATAACTGTGTATTCTGCTCAGATTATGTTGTGATGGCAGAATTTCTTTATAACAGAAGTTCAAAGGTATCTACACACATCTGCCAGTGATTTTCTTTTAATAAGCATGTTGTACTTATGTGTTTAGTCAGATTCAGAGAACACTCCATACTTAAAAGAACCACAGCCCAGCACACTAGTCCCTTGTAGCAGGTTTCTGAATTTTTGCTGAGTTTTAAAAAGTAAATAATGCTCCTAGTTCCAATCTAAACAGTTGTTCTGAGTATTTCTGTCTTGAGACAAACAAACTAAGAACAAATAACAGCAGTAGATTTCATGACCAACTCCTTCCCCAACCTAGTGAGTCAAAAGTTCCAGAACATCACTTCCAACCAAGGCACAAAATCATTCACTGACTCTTTTCTTCCATTGCTTTCTTCACGTTTTCCCCTTGCCCTTAAAAAAACCAGAAGTTGGTGTAACAATGTTGCATATTACCAGACATTAAATTCAACCGGGTTGTAGCTGTATCTGAAATAGATTCTATCTATTATGAATTTAGGTTAATTAGATGAACAGCACATTCTTAGCACATCTTTGTTCACTTTCGGCATTCACCTCGAAGGGGAGGACATGGAGGAAAAAGCCGCAGCAGTTTCATGCATATTTTTCAAGAAACTTTATGTGGAAGTCTTTCATTTTCTCCATTAGGATCTTCAGCTTGTCTATTTGAGGAAGAATGGTCATTCTGAAAAATAGTATTTAGAAAAAGAATTTTAAAAAAGCACCTTATTTTCAAAGCAAAGTAATGCGATCACTTCACAGATGTGACACAGCCAGCAGAACTGCTGTAGCTAAAGGTTCCCTCATCGCTTCAGACCAAACAAGACCAAATTCCATGCTGAATTCCAGCTGTTAGTGGCTTGGCTGTAATAAAATGCTATTTGTTGGAAGCAAGAGCAAGCAGCGGAGTTTATGTTCACAGTTTTGGTATTGAAGGATTTAGTCCTATTTCTTGTTTCAGTAAACTAGAAGTAATTAAGCATGTGTAAGGAGCAGATTAGTAAGGAAAGATACTGTAGATACTTGACTAAGGAAATGCTGTTTAATTCCCAGAAGAAAGCAGGGCAGTGTTATAAACACCGTAGCCAACTTCACAGCATAAGCTATAATTACTATTTGCAGAGAAGGCATTTCAAGTGTCAGTGTACAAAAATAGAATAAAACTATGTCAGCAAGCTGGGAGAACACCTGAATCAGAAGGAGAAGATAGAAGAGCAGGTCTTTGCCCCAGCAGAAAGTGAGACTGTATGACTTTAAATGCAAGCCCTTATGTCTAATCAGAAAAGAAAGTACTGGGGTAGTACTTAGCTTATTACAGTTCATTTCATTGATCAAACAGAAACTGTACCTGAAATGATAAGTTCCTTCTCTTTGGCCGAATCCACTTCCAGGTACAACACAGATTCCAGTCTCTTCCAGAAGTTTCATGCAATAGAACATGTCAGGTGCCATCTTATGTGCCTGAGGGAATCGATGTGTTGGAATAACAGAGTCAAAATATCCCAAAGACATATAATTTCACAACTGCTTTTTTTTCCTGAAACCTTGTCTTGCATTATTGGTTTCTTGTTCTGTTTACTAAATAGACAAAGAACAATTCCTAGTTGTACAATTCATGCTGTGCATTAAGTAACAGTAGTTTGTGGAGGAGCGAGGATGAAGAACCTACACCAAATATTTGCTTCAAAAGAAAGGTTCTACATATTTTTGTTTTACTCCTCGAATGGTTTGTAACTTTTGGTCAAAAGTCACAAAATTGTACTTAGAGAAATCTAAGCCATATCTGGCAAGATGAAATTAATTTGAGCTGCGTGTTCCACTTTCATTAGCAGTTTCTATTTTTTCCCTTATGTTATCTGCTGACTAGAAAGTCTCCTGATTAATACCATCCAAGTTCTTAAGTGCATACAATTGTACACCTTGTCACAGAACAAGCAGGAAAGGAGCCCTATTTTTGTCCTCGCCTATGTACTTACAATTGCCTTTAAAAAAAATGAGTATTACATATTGGATAACAGAGCTCCAGCTAGGAACAAAAAGACTTGTCACTGAGCTTACTGACCTATGAGAAAAAGTACTGTGCAGAACTAAAATCTGAAAGGAGATCTCCCTGCCTTTATCTCATCCTTGCTCACTGTGGCTTCTGCAGAGTCAGTAGTGCACAGCCCATCTCAGTCTCAGCCACACATCTTGGCCTACCTACATCCACGTACGTCTCTATCCCACAGCTTAATCCATTTAACACATGGTAGCACTCTCAACTTGGAAGCCTAACGAGTGCTTTGCTTACTTCCCTCACCTAAAGTAAAGGCCATGTTGTATTTTAAATCATATGTAGTCAGTGAAGTACCACTTCTGTGACTAGTAGGCTTTCTCTACCTCCGGAATAGAAGTTCATCATTAGAAGTAGGGTAGATTTAGACTAGATAGAGGGTAGATTTAGACAAGGATAGATTAAGGCCAGGTATTAGGAAGAAATTCTTTACTGTGAGAGTGGTGAGACACTGGAACAGGTTACCCCGTGAGGCTGTGGGTGCTCTCACCTGGAGGCATCTGAGGCCAGGCTGGATGGGGCTTTGAGCAGCCTGGTCTAGAGGGAGGTGTCCTGCCCATAACAGGTATTTGGAACTAGATGATCTTAAAGGTTACTTCCAACCCAAACCATTCTGTGATTCTGTGATCCATTCTAACTGGCAGGCACAAAAGCATAACGGTTAAAATGGATTGGGAATAAATGATGACTGACCTTTGCTTCCTCAATGGCTTTGGAAGGCATAAAGATCCGTGGGAAAGCATACAAAGCACCCTGAAGTGGATTGCAGTGAACTCCTGGAACCTTGTTGAACATGTCTTCTGCCAGTTTGGCTTTTTTGGCAAGATTGTTCAAAACAGACTCCTTTTCCTGTATAAAAGGAAAGTGTCCAGTTTGACATATCTAAAAGCAATAAAAGTGCCAGAGATAATGATGATGCCACAAGAATCCCACCCAGAATTAAGCACTCCAAGGACTTTGCTGAACTTTTAGAACAAATGATGTTCCTACATTCATCCTTTTGGTTACAGACAGCAATGCATAAAGGCATTAGCAGGATGCAATACCAGGTGTAGGCGGACAGGAACCTACAGAAGTTTTATCAGCATGCCCTGTTCTTACATTCTTCCTTCTGAGCATCCATTCTTGGCTATTTTTAGGGACCACATTAACAAACCTTTGGTCTGACTCAGTACTGCAATTTCTTAAGCCAGATTCAATTTCAGAAGTGAAAAACTGTATATACATGCTTTAACACACAATGCCATATTGTTCATATACGGAGGTACTGGATAGCAAGGAACAAGGCTGAATTTATAACTGTATTTGAATTCCTGTTTCTCTTTAGATGTTAGTACAAGCAAATATTATTTATTAGTTCTTTTGTCATGCTTAACAGCAGAAAAGTTGAACTTATCAGCAAGAAAGCTGATTTGGTAATGCCTTCTCAGTTTGTTTTGGCTCCTAAACAAAGAAACCCTAAAAAGAACAGAACGTATCTTTAAAGGCAGGCATATTTAGTTAGTATAAAAAGCCTACATGGTTCTAAGCCAGTGCAGAAAGAATAAGCATATTATTGCTGACCTTTATGAACTGTGAATAAGACTCTTCTCCAGGTACTGGAGGATTCACTACAATATCCATTGCTGCTTGTCCTGAGACTGGAGGACAAAGGCGAACAGAAAGCAGCTTAACAAGCTGTCCTTTAATGTCTGGATGCAAGTTAAGGACCTCCATATAACCTCCTCTGTAGCCACATCTATGATCGGAGCAAACAGAAGAGATCAGTTAGCTGCAAGTGTATAAATACTGGAAAAGCAATGAAAAGAATTGCAAAAGTAGAAAGATGGTTAATGAAAATCTTTGCAGTACGTAACGTAGAAGTTGCTGAGACAGCTGCTTTACTGGTCGTTTTATGATGGAAGTGAACACTGTGCCATTAAGTCCTAGTATACCATACAAAGAAAAAAGGTACAAGCAGCTTCCCTGTTGGGCAAGTTAACTATTAACATGGACTGCTGCTTCTTCACAACAGGATCATATGGTTGTAGCAGCATTCATTTAATAGAAAAAAATCTTTTTCTTAGATTTCTTCCTCTCCAAAACAACCAAACCCCCGTAATGTTAAATGTCCTAGTGATTCCTGAGCTTGAGCTTTTCCCATGTTTGCCTTTCTCACAGCTCTGGCTTAGGACTGTAGGACTGCAGCTTTGTGGAACTGAGGCATGAGGTGTCTGAAATAAACATGCTCATAACATTGTGCTATTCAATGCATTGAAACCACTGAGCTAATTCATCACTCAGAGCTTTAAATGTTTGCTTTCTTTTTTGTAACAGTTTTTAGTTAAAATCAGAAAAAGATATCTTCAGGTTTCTGATGTGAAATTCCTGTGCAATCAGATTAACGGGAGAAGATGAAATAAAAAAACTAAAGCAGACTTACTCGCCCATATATCCCTTAGAGGTGGAATGGAAAGAGGCCAGCTCAACGTTGTTAGAGTACTCAGGTCCCATCTCATACAGAATCTTTTTGAAGGAATGAAACTGGCATCCTTCAGAGTACACATTGTCCTGGTAAACCTGGACAGTCAGAAGACATTATTGTACCCTGTTCCCCCAGCTAAGCATAAAAGATGGCCTTTTAGAGAGCCAGGTGTGCACAGAAGAAACAGTTCTAATACTTGTAACTGAAGCCTTTAGAAGACACAGAGTTCTTTATTAAATAGTTGTTACTGTAATTATATGTTTTATCTCATGTGGCCTTAATAATTCAGCCTTCGGAAAAACAGCCAACTCTTTATATAATTTAGCCTTGACTTGTATGTTTAGATTGATTTTTATTCTTTATTTCATTTCAAGTGGTCTGAATATCACATAGATTTTTAGGTCAGCTCTTGCAAAGTTTCTTCCTTAATTTTCCTGCTTGTGTCTCCTATGCTTTACCTCAAATCCAGATCAAGCTGCCTCTTACTAATCATCTCATATTAATAATCTTGTGTGTTCATCTGTGTCTTAATGTGATAACAGAGACTCTGTCCTCTGTACTTAAAAAGCACAATGCCACATGTGGGACAAAATTTGATTTAATCTGCTTACTTTTAGCTTTGCATTTGAGAAAACAGAATATTCCATTACCTCATCAGCCAGAAGAAAAAGTTTCTCTTCCCAAGCAAAGTGTATCACATCTTCGATGCACTTCCTGCTTTGTACCTGTCCTACAGTTAGATTTTCAGATCAAGAAAAATAAAGTTAGTGGAGCACACAGACAAATCGTTCAGCCCAGACCTAGTTTGACAACTAACTTTTCAATGAAATATCCCTCTGTCTCAAAAAAGAGCTATTCAATTTAGAGCACAATTCTGTAAGTGTGAAATTAAGAAACATAATTGGAGGGGATATGGTTCAAGGTAATTTAGTACACCTCAAGCAAAGGAAGTGTGAGGTACATTAATCATGCAATAATTAAGAGTAGTCTTTGTATAAATCTTTTAAAATCCTCACATGCTTAATGATTAAGCAAAAACAGGCTATTTCACAATGTTATTTAAGCATAAATTTGACAGATAACTACAGGGAGTTTAATTATTCTGTTCCTGTTTGTGACCCAAGCCATGCTAATTGACATTGTGCCTTCCTAACTCAAGTATGATGTATTGACTTGAGCCAATTTTCTTCACAAGTGCAGTGAGCTGTGGATATATACACAAAGATTTTTTGCTGCAGTCAGCTGACAAGCAGCAGGAAAAAAGCTTATGCCTGCTTACACCCACTTGAATTGTTTTTGTTATCTTCCGTCCCCAAGCCATTAAAAGGGAGCTAGTTTCTCACTAAGCAACATCAACTACACAAAGAAATAAATTCTTCCAATGGAAACACTGGTTGTCATTCAGTTCAGTGTGTATCTGTAGCCACTGCCATTGTTGTGTAGAGAGAAGATTCTTGGTAAGGACCAAAAGCAATTGAAAGTCATTCTGCAAGTCCACAAATTTCAGTGGAGGCAGTGGCTTCAGATGTGATCCAGGGAAGTGAATCTGCTCCTTCCTCTCTCCCCAAATTCCTGGAGTTCCATGACAGTGAAAACAAGTTTCTAAAATTATGATGTGCTATCCGACTGGAAGCACTGATGTCTAGAATTCAGCTTTACACATTGGCATGTATTTTGGATGGGCCTGCAATGTCAAATATAAAAAAAAGTAAATGGATCTTAAACATCTTTTCAACAGAGGTGCTACAGACCGGTGGGATTTCCCGGGTTGATGATGCAGAGCACTTTTGGGTTGCAATATGCCTTGGCTTCATTCAAGGAGCGCCGAAGTTCATTTACATTTAGAGACCAGCAGTTTTCTTCATCCAAGTAGTAGTTCACCTGGATGGCATCTAATTCAGATATGAGTGCTGAATACAAGGGATATTGTGGTATAGGGATCATCACTCCTGTTCGGGATTTTCCACCTCCTGAGACCAGGATCTTCAAAATTGACTGGGGAAAAAGTAAAAAAAACAACAAAAAACAAACAACAAAAACAACTCATATATCAGAATTAATAGTATTCTCTAGAATAAGTTACTGATCTTTCTCTTGAAAAGATGTAGAGCTAAGGTAGATTTCTATTCTAGAAGCTGGCAGTCATTTTCTTGAATATTTAAGTTACTATCTGAAAGAGGCTGCTCTAACTGAGCTTCACAGTATTCCTCTGCACATCACTGCTAAATGTCTGGTCAACTTCAAAATCTTGGGAAAAGTTCTGATCAGAAATTCTGAGCTCTAGGAAAAGTTGAAAAGAGGAACATCAGGATGGTGATTTTTCTTTGCACCCGTTTACAATTAGAACGAAGGAAGCCTCAGCTAGTTGTTGCTCTGCCTTCCACATACTGCACCAGTGATTGCAGCAGGCCAAGAAATAACATCAGAAGTTATTGCTGGGGCACACAGAGGTTTTCCTATGGGCTGACTGCCCCCAGGGCAGGATCTCTGGTTGGAGATCCCTCTCTTGTGGAGTCTTTCCTGTGAATCTGGATCTCTGGGGACAGGGGAACACCTTTCCTTTGAAATATCAGTATATCTATGCTGGTCCCTTTCCTGTTACATTCCTATACCCCCCCGTTCACAGCGTTAATTTTTCTGATTGTAACAGGGCTTTTTATGTGTTAATGAGATAAAATAATGCATTTCTGACAAGTGGAGAGATTTCTTGCCTTTTTTAATCTAGGGAGAGCTCTGAAGTACAGGTGCAATCTTTATCAATGTGTAATAAGAGTGTAAAACAAAAAATAGATGACAACGGTACCCTTGAAATTTCTCATGCATAAAATCTGCCTTTCTGTGCTTCTCATCACATTTTAACTCAGCTGTTAGATGAATGATTTATAATTAACATCATTCTGTACCCGTCACTAGTTGAAAAATACTGAACAGCCAGAAAGTGTCATTA